AATAACACTTTTAAAAAAAAGGAAAGAAAAGAATGCTGCAATAAACATAGGGATGCATATGTCTTTTCAAATTAGTATTTTAGGATTCTTCAACTAAATATCCAGAAACGAGATTGCTGGATCTTTGTCTCTTGTTACAGTCTTTACCTTAAAGTCTATTTTGTCTGATAGGAGTATTGCTATTCTACCTTTTTTGTTTCCATTTCCTAATTGCTAAATTTAAATTGAATGCATAGACAATGAAAGTCAAATACTTTCACTATTCTGATACTTTATTTTTAATATAATTTTCCTTAAATTCCAGTGTATAAATTTTATTTACATAGATCAAAAAAATTGAGCAATTGAACAAGTTCCTATTATATGTGTACACGCATATAAATGTGGGTTTATTTAGAAATTCCTATTATATGTGTACTGCATTTGAATGTAGGTTTCTTTTCATAAATGCTCATTCATTTCAAAATTCACTGAGATAATATTTATAATTAATTAATGGACTCATTATTAAGTTCATTTAAAACATTTATGAAAAAGCACACAATAAATTTTGCCTAAAAAAGTACAATTTAAAAAATGATTATATTTCTAGTGATTTGTCAAAATTGAAAATGCTTTAGCACCAAAGGCCAGCAGTTGAAATTTTATGGGCCAATAGCAACTATTGCAACTAAGCTTTATTTTGCACAGACAATAGCCAGACAGCATTTTATATTTGGGGTTTACAGACTAAAACACTGACTGCTGTGGCCATAAGCAAATTGGAAAACAGTAAAATCCATATCGTTTCAGGCAAATATTCTTTGCATGGTTAATTAATCAAGTAAATATCTGAAAACTTCATTCTGTCTTCAGTCTAAAAATTTAAAACTTGTAGAAGCATGTAATGATCTAGAAACTGAACTTAATAAACATGCTTCAAAAGAAAGAATTACACCAGATAGCAAAAACAAGTACAAAATAAGAAAGGCTTACTTACATCAAAAATTCTACTGTGCTAAAGACATCAAAATACAGAGAAAAGATACCCATCATTATATCAGAAAAAAAAGTAAGTGGTAAAATAATCTAATATTAAAGTGGAAAGGAAAACTGGTAAAAATATTAAAAATATGCATTTCCAATGGATGTTTCTAAGAATTTCAGCCTCTATAAAAGATAACAAGACATGACTTTAAAACTTGTTTAGGTGATAGGTTAATTTGTACAGTAAAGGATCAAATCTTAACTGTTACTTATGAAATTATCGTACTCAGGAGACTAATATATTTGATAATTTGTTTGGTGAGGAAAGAATAGCAGTTAAAAAGCTCGGGCAAAAATTTAAGAAAAGCAAATGTAATCACATCAAAGATACATATATCTTTAAAGGGAAAATAAAATACTGACAATCATTTGAGTGAGTTTATATCTCAGATTTGATCATTTCTTCTCCAGGTCCAGGGGATGTTTACCTGGGTGAGTCTTAGGATCAATTTTCTTCATGCCTGCTATTGAGCAAATGATTACTGCTGGAGAGAATCTCAGAAAAGGAAATATTAATGCCACAATGAATTCTTAATTACCAATTCCAAAATTGCCTGCAGCAGTGCCTGGCAATTCTACCTACATCTTTGGCCAACCGACTCTCTTTTTCCTCAATATTTCTATATATAGTTTTTTTATTTTCCTCAAACTATCACTATAATTCAATCTCCAGTGGTAACCAAAACAAAAGCCAGGTAACTTACTTCCATACTTCCACATTTTCCTTCTTCCAGGCCTGTTCCCCAGACTAAAATCTCATTATTTTCTTTCCTGGATTGAATCACTTCAATTACTTTTCATAAGCCAAAAATCTGAAAACTGCACTACAACTTTGTCTCAAATCACTTTCCCTTTACTTTCTGTTTCAGTTATAGAATCTTTAATTGCTCACATGTACAATGCTTCTCCCACCACTTACCTATCATATTGCTTTCCTAGGGCTGCTGTAACAAACTACCACGGTGACTTAAAACAACAGAAATCTGTCTCACAGTTCTGGAAGCTAGAAGTCTGAAATCAAGATGTTAGCAATGGCCACACTGCCTCTGAAACCTATAGGAAAATCCTTGTTTCTTCTTCCAAGCTTCTGGTTATTTGCTGGCAGTCTTTGGCATTCCCTGGTTTATAGATGCATCATTTAATCCTCCATGTCTGTATGGCATTCCTCACGTGTTTCTCTCTGCTTTCAAATTTCTCTTTGTACCAGTCATTCGATTAGGGCTCACCCTAATGACCTCATTTTAACTTGATTATCTGTATTTCCAAATAAGCTCACATTCCATGACATTGGGAGTTAGGACTTCAATATATCTTTTTTTAGGGAGACACAATTCAACCCATAAAAAACCCACAATTAATACAGGAGTTTTCCACATGTTGTTTGTTCTCCTAGAAATCTTTGCAACCCTCACCCCTCTGCCACCTTGCCTAGTCACCCTTCCAACTTTCAACCCAGAATGGCTATTATTAGGGAAGACTGATTCACAATCTAAACACATTTTCCCAGTAAATGCATTTGTATGACCATATATCTTGCCTTTGTAACATTTATCATATTGTAATATAACATTTATTGGTGAGATTATTTGATTAGTATCTATCTGCTTCACTAGACTGCGAGCTCTGTGAAGGCCATTTTTCATCGTTGTTGTCTCTACCATCTGAAATATCACAGTAGGCATTCAAAAAACTGTTTGGCTGAATGAATAAGTAGTAGATCAGATCAGAAATGACAAAAATATCAGCTTGCAGTTTCAAAATTTTTACTTTTACTAAAGTGTTAGCTATAACATAAACTGTTTCCATATAATATTCTACCTGTCAGGAAATAATTCCTCTATCATTAGATTTCAAGGCTAAAAAAATCAATAAGAAATTTGCAGTTTATTTTGAATTATCAGTGCTGCAGTAGCTGTATAGGACTCTAACTCTGCTCATATCACTCAACTTCTGTTTTTAGTCTCAAAAAAATCAACTCTCTAAATATCCAAATTGCATTCAGAAGTTCCAGAGCAAGCAAAAAAGCAAAAGGTTATAATAGAATTTGAGAAACATTCAGTTCAGTGAAACAAAATCTATTGATAAGTGCTATAGTTGAACTCTGGAAACACCCAAAAAACAATTCAATACAATGAGAAATACTATGGTGAGTTATAACCAGCAGCAGTGGAAAGAGAAATGCCCAACTACAATTATTGCCGTTACATGTTTAATTTATCTTTTATACAGCACATAGATGCTTTTGTATTCATAAGGCAAAATTCAACTTCTGATTCTTTGAAAAGCATTTATGTTATATATTTTTCTTCTCTTCCATAATTCCTTACATAAATGGTTATATTCAAAGCCAAATCTCTATCTATATGGACTTTGAAGACTAGCAGAACTGGGTTAGAATTCCAGCTCCTACCATCTGGGTCATTTTGAACAATTTACTTACTTTCTTTAAGCCTCAGTTTTCTTTTCTGCAAAATAGAGATAATGTTAATTGATCGATTGGATTATTCTGGATATTAAATATACATAATATATGCAATAAATTACCTAGTCACAGTTAGCAATCAATAAATGTTACTACTGTTATCTTCAACAACATAAACATGAGAGGTGAATGTTAAATACTTTTCAATTTCAAACATATGCCTTTTACATTCTTCTATGGCTCACTTTATTTTCTTAAACCAAGGTACTGTTTTTATAATTAGTTTTTATATGCAACATTCACTTTTACCTATTAACTGTCATACATAATAAACTAGGAATATTTTCTTTAAGTAAATTACAACTAAAGTTAATATTATGAATAGTATATAGATAAATTCAATATATCTACTGAAGATTGAATTCTGCCTAATTACAAAAACACAAAGAAATAAACAAATTAATGAATTATCCTTAATTTGAAATATTTATTCTTAAGTTTAAAATGTTTATGGCTTAGGTAATATTCTTTGATGAATGTTGCCTTTGAAAATTTTGCATAAATGAAAATACATTTGAGAAATACAAAATGACCAATAGTAAAAGCAAAACAATTTAAATAATGTGTTTTATTGATAGAAATGCAAAAATATAATTAATTGGTTGTATTTTATTTGCCAGAATTTGGCAATTAACCTTATTAGCCCAATTAAAACTGAAATTTGATTTTCTCAGATATATTGTTACTATCTATCTTACCAGGGAAATAAAGCTTGACTTTTGTTACCATATTAAGAGAGTTTAAAATTCCCCAAAAGTTGCACTCTAGAAATCATATGTAACTGTGTATTTTAAAGCCTCAAATATATTTTTATTGCAATTATATTACATATAATTATGTAGATTATAAAGATTTTCATGATGCAGAATGAATTCAGTTTTGGAGGTAACAGAAAGGCATAGCCTCAACCACACTTGATTTCTTCACCTGTATCTGAATCTTAAACTTGTTTCTTGATGTTTTGAGATGAAAATATTGATGATATTCTTCTTATGGTTTTCTCATCATTGTTAATCATGTAGATATTATCCATATTATCTCTAATATTTTTTTTAAGTTAAACATACAGAAGAAAAAATGGAAGTCTTGAGGTATGGAATTCATATTTTTAAGTATTTATTACTCACCTTTCCAATTGCATTCAACAAACATTTATAAATTCTGATAATGTGTGGGGCACATTACATTATTTCATTTACATTATTTCTATTGCTCTTAACTTCACCCCTAAGAAGTGGATGTTCTTATTTCTATTTTTAAGGTAATGAAGGTGAGGTTAAATAAGTGACAGAATAGGATTTGAATCTCAATTCACTTGATTCTTAAGACTATACCATAAATTATCATTCTATGCTGCCTCTATGCAGGCAAAATCCTCATCAACTTGTTTACCAGAAGAGAGATAACCCTGGCCATTGAAACACCTTTGAAACTCCTTATTAAATTTCGCTAGCAAGAGATGGACAAAATGGTTTTATTTGTTTTTATATAGGTATATGGCCATTATTGATCCCTTGAAACCCAGACTGTCTGCCACAGCCACTAAGATTGTCATTGGAAGTATTTGGATTCTAGCATTTCTACTTGCCTTCCCTCAGTGTCTTTACTCCAAAACCAAAGTCATGCCAGGCCGTACTCTTTGCTATGTGCAATGGCCAGAAGGTCCCAAGCAACATTTCACGTAAGTTAATTCTCAATTATGATTTTCAATTCAATTTATTGAACACTTAAGGAACTATAGGCTGAGAGCAACAATTAAGGAAATTGTCCTCAAGGGCTCACATTTTACTTGGGAAAAGAGACACATAAAAATACTGTAATATAGTATATGGTCAATAAGTTATTATAAGTTGCAAAGGTTTCTAATTGGAAAAATGTGATGACTTCTATATAGGGTAGCTCTGGAGAGTTTCCTGGAGGTGATGGTAAGCTCACTAGAGATGAAAGCAATGCAGGGTTGTTACTGATTGAGAAATGAGTGAGAAAGGGTAGAACTGAAGCCCAAAGGTATTGATTGCTCTTTTAAGAAACCTGACTGAAGGGAAGGGGAGTCCTGGTAGGTTCTTGGTTGTGTTCTTTTGTTTCAGCATTAAAGAAACTTAAACACTAGGTTGGAAAGGAAATAGGAATGCTGTATGATAGAATTTAGCATTTCATATTTTGGACCCATTTGAAGAAAAGCAAATGGAAAAAAAATATGCAAATGTTTTCATTTTGCTTTTTAGTCTGATCACTTAAATTTTATTTCAATATAATTATTATTTAGTGACCAATTTTCCCTTTAAAAATAACAAATATAATGGTCATTCTATTAAGCAGCCATTTTATCAAACTCTGCTCTACCTAGAGTTCAGATTTTTAAAGAACATTTGGAAGTACTTATTGAAGGAAAAGCTGGCAGCAGTTATTAAACTGAATACTGTATTCTATCTATTATTATTAATAAGTCTTAATTGTATAGCAAAATAAAACTAATCAAAGTAATAAAATTAAACTATTTGTTGACTAAATCACTTCACCATTGACTTTAAGTCAATATTTAATAAGCTATCAAGAAATGAGAAAGCGAGAAGGCTTAAAGTTCCCTCTATAAAAAAAAGATATGAATATTAAGAAGACTAGCATATCACACTTTTTAATTACTTTAAAGCCTTCCTAAGACAGTGGAAGCCACACAAAAGTTTATAGAAGTTCTAATTGGGCTGTTCTATTACCGCTTGCCCGCTTATTCCTCCTTCAGTGCATCCTTATAATTTTGATTGAGAGCTATGAAATCCTATAATTTAGTCTGTATGTTATTTACCAAATTAATAATGGAATCAAATGTATCATGACTTTGAAAAAATGTATGTAAATGTCTTTATCTGATTCTTAAAATCATAGTCAAATAGCTTGTGGATCCAATGTAGCTCACAGTATCTGGTAACATTTTTTTCATTTGGATGAAAAACAGTTTATTTCAAATGTGACTGATTTGCAGATATATAGAATAGTTTTACATAGGAGAAAATACGGCAGTTGATTAGTTTTCTGTCATATCTCTTTTTCTCTGATGATACATTTAATTAGCTTAGCTCAACAATTACCAGGTAGGGGAAAAGCATTCAGCCTGAACCTCTAGGCAAGGGGACATGTGAAGTTTAAATGAGCACTGCGCTCAGCTATGGTGTTTGTGTGTAAAAATTGACGGAGATTAGCTGGTAACATTTGGATAACTGTAGGTAACAATAGTATGATATTCTGATGGATTTGTGAAATGAAGCTTAAAGGAGATGTGGAAATGTTCTTTCACATTTTCAATTATGATTTAAAATGGAATGAATTCAAAGTCCCATTATTTCATTCCAATATGCTCTTCAGCATGTGTTTTTCTTATTTCTTGCAGTTACCATATTATTGTCATTATACTGGTGTACTGTTTTCCATTGCTCATCATGGGCATCACATATACCATCGTTGGAATCACTCTTTGGGGAGGAGAGATCCCAGGAGATACCTGTGACAAGTATCATGAGCAGCTAAAGTCTAAAAGAAAGGTACTGTTTCATATAATTTACCTAGCCTTTGTGTAAATTATGGCACATCAGAGGGGAAAAAACTACTTATGTCATTTTAATATGATGTGATTTGATGTTTTGCTTCTATTTTTTTGTCTTATTTTCTTTCTTTCCATCAATTTTATCTTTTACTTTCTTTTTGTCTTCTATATGGCACTGACCATATGCAATATCAGTCTGTGATAGAATAGTCCCTTACAGAAAGACGTTTCATTAGTTTGCAGAGTATTCTCAATTACTCTACCAGAAACTTCTGAAATTTAAATGGAGTCCCAGTTATATTTCTGCAGTTCTAGCTATCTTTACCCTTTATTGAACACAATGCCTCTGATGTACTCTATAACCTTCCAGAAGCTTCCTTTATTCCAAGAATGGTATGTGCTTTAACTTCCTAAAATCCATTTATTTATGCCTCCCTCCTCCCATCCCCAATCTGGTTTCTGAACAGCCATCATGTGTGTCTGATTAAAAAATGAGAGTTTCGTTAGTACTCTTCCACTACTTATTGGGGGACATCTTAAAGCCTGTTTCTGAACATTTACATTTAGAAAGCCTCTAAAATTATTTTATTGACATCTTACTAGAATTTTTTTTAATTAAGATTTTTTCTGACTACCATTATGTGACTCAGTGAGAGATTTTTTGATAAATTTGTAGGGTTAAAAGAAATCTTATTCATCTATTCCATCTTCCTCTCTCCAGTTGATGTGTACTTAAAATTAGAGAGGTTTATCTAAGGATAAGAGAGTCATCTTAATTATGCCAATGATTTATTCCATCTATGGTTCATTTATTTATGTAGAACTACTACCAACCACATGGACAATTCTCTTAAAACATTCGACAATTTTAAAACCACTTACCTACAAACACTCACTTAACAATAATCTACCAGGTTTTAAAAATCTAATGTAGAAAAAGGACTTCTTTTAATATTAATGTTTCCTCTGTTATTGACAAATAATGGTAGACAAGATTTATGTTTGGTTAACAATTTATCATGATGTCTAGTATTTGAAAACAAAAAATGAACATGATCTCTTTCATGTCAATTTACTTATTTCAGCCTGTAATACAAATAATTTTATTTCTCTTAAAAAAAAAACTTAAAAATGATGTGCACAAACAACCAAACTATGCCTTTAGCACCTAAAAAAAGAATCCTAAAACTAAGAGAACTTCAATAACATGGTCATCTTAAATGAACAGTTTCTCTTTCTCTTTTTTAATTTCAACCCTCATTTTGAAATACCTTGCTTATATTACAGGATACTCTTTTGGGGGGATATTATCGCTATATTTTAGGCATGATCATATTAAATGATTAATGTTCTATGGACTTCAGAATAATTTCTGTCTTTATATTACCCACTTTATTTCCTGTCTTTTGTCTCTTTTTTATCAGTTTAGGCATCTTTTTCTTAATATGTTTTTTTCCTGTTCACTCCCAAATTCAGTTCAGTAATTGTAGATTATGGTTCTTTTTTCATCTATATGTAATATTTTTTTCTGGCAACAAATAAAAATTTAATCTGAGTGTTTTTAGTTTTTGTTTTGTTTTTGGTTTTGTTTTGTTTTGTTTTTGAGTTGAGTCCCAGAGGGAACAAAAGCAAGAGGGAATATTTCTGCCTTTGCCCCATATAGCTGATGAGAGTTAGGCATAAATATTTCCCTTTGATTTTATTACTCTACAATTTCAATGTATAAATATTAATTCAAACCAAGAGTGTGACCCTGCTAGAATAATTTTTAAAAGTAAGACATTTAAAATTTCCAGTCTGTATGTCTTTCTCTCAGATTGTATTCTGGGCTGAAATAATAGAAAATGACATTCACATCATGGACTTATAATAAACCACCTTGTCCTTGGATTTATTCCACAGTCACTTATTGGTATGACCATAAGAATCTTGGAAGTAACACTTATTGGTCCAAAATTTTAACTTCAAATTATAGCTAGCTCTTCTCTTAATTGATTTTTCTTATCTAAATTAAAATATTGTCTGATATGGTTTGGAATTAGTTATTTCTAGTAATCATGCTATATTCATATTTGAATATGACTACTTAGGTCAGATATAAATCCTATCCTAGATGGGCCATTTAATTAAATTCTATCTCCTAGAGAATTCATCTTTGATATTACAAATTGGACTTCAGAGGTAAGTAACAGAGTATTGGTTAAAATAGTGCAAATTCATTGACTGTTGGGAAAAACAGCTCCATAAATCATTCTGAGACAGCCTCCTAGTAATAAAAGAATAGTGAATGTTGATTGAGCCCCCAAATACACATGAACAAAAGTAAATAAAAACTTAAGAAATTTTAGTCAAGTCACTAAGATCTTTCCAGCTATTGAGAAACATCACTTCCATTTCTTTGTCCTACCATCTTTAGGAATTGTGCTTAATTTCAAAATTTGTAGATTAAATTTTTTTGAAAAACAGCTGGTAGAAGTAAATTACATGTCTAAGTTATATAGGATGTAGCATGTCTAAAAATTAAACTACCATGAAACTTTCAGATAAATTAGGATTAAACACCCCTGCTTGATCTTTACATATGTCCTGCGTAAGTATATATGTCATTTGAAATTAATATCAGTGGTTCTAGCCAGCACCAGCTAAAAAGAAAGACTAAATATTAGTTTTGAGAAATAAGATAATACCTCAAGAAATATTTTATCATTTAAATTGGAGTATTCAACCTAAAAATCAGTATTAAAACTATTGCTCCAGTTAACTAAACTCTAGGAGAAAATCTGTAGGATTGTCCAACATTTGAGTCACATATATAGAATTAGTCTTTCAAAAAGATGTTAGCAAGCATATTAATTAATTCTTATATAATGTATTTTATAATTTCAAAGCATTTTGGTGTTTTATAACAAATCAAAGATATCTTTTAATTTATAGTAAATGTTCTGGGTTTTAAAATCCTGTTTGTTACATACCCATTGATTTTAAATATGTCTACTTAAATATGAATAAATAAATATGTCTTCTTAAATATGAATATTGAAAATAATGTGCCTTTAATATAACAACGCGGTTAGCTTAAAAATCCTACTCTCTAAATAAGAATATCTTCAGATAGTAGCACAATATAAAATATCAATTAATATCATACAATCCTCAAAGCCTTGTGTGTGTGGTAATTGGTTAATATTCTTGTCAAAGATCTTCAGGAAATTTGTATATACTACTGTATGATTGATTTAAAGTACATTTGCAGTTTTAAAATCTATTCTAGAATGATAGATATGATCAGAACCTAAAATTTCATGAATCCTTTGTCTTACTGCTATTATACTTTGTCGGATTAAAACCAAACACAGTATAAGAAGGAAATAAGAAGAGAGTACTAAAAGATCGCATAAGTACGATGTTTTGGTAAAATAAATCAAATGTGCGCTTTGATTTTTTTTCAGTCATTCCAAAATCATTCTGTTTCCCTAAGGATCTAGAAGCAAGAAAACCACAGATATTAGCTCGTAAGCCCTTGTAATGCTTACTTAAGTTAGAATATTACCTATAACTATATTCATAGAGCCATAATTTAGAACTCATTCACTTTGGAAACAGAGAAAATTTGCTATACATTTCTCCAAGTATTCTCAAAATTAAGACAAATTTCTCAGCAATTTGGGTGAAAAAAAGTAGTGACATTTTCTTATAAATGATATTAAAATTCTTGGCAATGACAAAATAAATCCCCAAATATGTGTGTGAGTCTACTGGCATCTTGGAATAACTACTTAGAACATAAACACTAGAAGTCCCATGATTAGCAAGATGAAAAATAAATTATATTAATTAATAGATGTATGAGTTGGACATAAAATATAGTTAATATTTTAAATGATTATAATTATCAAATTCATCTATAAGAAAAATAAATTGAGGCTAGATAGAGAACAAAAATAAAGAGAATAGTTATATCAGATCAAGTCAATTTTAATTCATTCATCAAAGGTTATTTATTGAAAGTTTCTGTTGTAGAAATAACATGGATTGCCTAATATCAGAAAAAAAAAAAATTGATAGTCTTGTGATATCCTTATAAATCAAGTAAAGAAAAATGAACTAGTCATAAATTGTATTAATATTGGTTGACCACATGCTGATGAAGAGAATGATGTCCATCTAAATGGAGGGTTTGAGGGGCATGCCACAGACCTCTTACTTTAGTACTAAGTTGTTCAAATAGATCGATAACAAGAATGTCAATTCTGTGGTCATGAATAATAAATCTAGAGATACAGACAGAATATCTGATGACTGAATCAGAAACTAGGAAGACCAAGAGCACAGTGTCACGTGCACGTGTTATGTGGTCCAAGTCCCATGGCTGACGGGAAAGCGTGGGGTCTTAGACATCAGTGATTTGTATTCCAGTTCTTGTCCTATCTAGGTGTAATCTTAGACACATCTCTTTAACTTTATTAGGTTTTGTTTACTGAATATTGTAGAGATTTAAGGAAGGACCTTTGGAATTGAAATTCTGTGGTTCTAATGCCTAGCACCCTGCCTTTTACACAGCAGACACTTAATTCAGGTTGATATTCCCTCTTTCTCCTGTCATTTGCTACCTTTTTCAATATGAAGAATCTATAAAATGAATGCAGAACTCATGTCCACACATTTATATGTGACTCTCATTTTATTCCCTTTAATTAATCAAGCACTTGTATTTAAGACAACTGTAGATTTTATCAAGATTTATAGTCAAGATAAATTACATTAAAGTAAAATTGATTTCCAAGTGGCCTAAAGTTGGTTGTTTTTTCTATGTATTAGTTTAACAAAAAATTTAAATGGCAACTTTCCTGTGACTATATTTAATCAAAGTAACAACAGCTCAACCCCAAGTGGAGGAAAGAAAACGTTATTTTCGTTTTTTCAGATTTAAAAACCTCATACTCTTGGAAAATATTCATGAAAACAAGATTAATCAAGAATTTGATAACATATTTTCCT